GGAGGTGGAGATTGCAGTGAGCCGAGATCGTGCCACTGCATTCCAGCCTGGGCGACAGAGCAAGACTCCGTCCCCCCAAAAAAAAAAAAAAAAAAAGTGAGTAAATGCAGACATTTTCTTGGGCAGTTTGAATAATTATTATTATTTTATAGAGATTGGGTCTTGCTCTGTGGCTCCAGGCCTGGCTGAAGTGCAAGTGGTATGATCATAACTCACTGCAGCTTTGAACTCCTGGTGATCTTCCTGCCTCAGCCTCCTGAGCAGCTCAGACTACAGGCAGCGCCACCACGCCCAGCTCATATTTTAATTTTTTATTTTTGTAGAGACAAGGTCTTGCTGTGTGTCCCAGGCTGGTCTTAACTCCTGGCCTCAAGCGATTCTCCCAAAGCACTGGGATTGTAGGCATGAGCCACTGCACCCAGCCAGGGTTGTATTATTTTCAAGACTGGTTTTTTGTTCATACGTTTGCAAAGACTTGCCTCCTTGAGATAATTTACTCACAAACTTACCATTAATCATAGGCCTCATTTTACCGTCCCTCCTCCTTATTTTTTGAACCAGTTTTGAGAATGCTGGTGTGTGTGTTGGTTTTTCTTTGATATAGCACTGCTGTGTCCCTTTGAGGCCTGAGAGGAAAAGTCATTTTCAAAACAAAAGCTACTAAACCAAAAAAGCCACGAATTTCCAGAAATTGAAAAGCACCCCCAATTTTGCATATTTTTCTTTAAAAAAAAGTCCGCAGTCCTGTCTGTTTTGATATTTCTGGGCTGCTGGCTTCATATGCCCCCAGTGCTATTTGGACACAGGGAACAAGGGCTCCTCTCTCCTCCTGTTTTTGAGATAAATTGGGTCAAGGCCAAAATCCGTTTGAGTTGATTGTGGAATCTGTTTCTCGGGAACATCAAATGATGCTTCAGTCAGCTGAAAACATCCCTTGAATTCCCGCATGCAGAAAATGGGTGCAGCTGGCAATACCACTGGCTTGTTTACCCCAGCTCCTGGGAGCGGGCGGATAAAGATTGAGTAGGAAAATAACATAGAGCTGGCTTCTCAATCCTAGTTGTACATTAGAATGCCAAAGGGAACTTTGAAAAACCTCAAAATCAAGGCCACACCCTAGGATCTCTGAGATATTGGTAGCCTGTGCTGCCGAGGGTGAGACCCACTGCCTCAGAAGCATGGTGCCCAAGCGGCAGGGCCCCACTTCAGCCACTTGGATGTAATTGGGCCGGGGTATGGTTTGAGAGTTTGCATCTCTAACACATTCCCAGGTGATAATGATGCCGGGCCCAGGACCACACTTGCGGTAGCAAGTTCTACAACATCTTGGGAAAGACACTGTACCTAGTCCACATCACAGAGTCAACACATTCTTGGCCAGGTGTTACATAAATCTTTTCACCTGACTGAGAAGAAGTCACTGTTCCGGAGACTCTCCTGCTCTGAGTAAAGAGGTCATTTTCTATTAATCTGATATATTAACATAAGTAATTTTTATAAAGTACTTTATGAGTGGGCAGGACCTGGCCTTGCTCCTGCGGTCTTCACTGTGTGAGAGTCAGTCAGCTGTAAGAAGAGGGTCTCTGGAAAATAGAAACCCACCTGTGGTGACCATATGTCTTGTCTGGACCACACACTGTGACCAGGGTAGCTTAAAGGTGTCCAAGTGGACTGGGTTCTTAAACCAGGGCCCTTTTGGTGTCAAGACAGAGACCCAACTCGAGACTGAAGGGATTGGAGGGTGGAACTGTGGAGTGCGGGGGTGAAGCAGAGCGCCTGAGTCAGAGTCCGTGTCACAGGAGCCTCAGTCCTTCCTCAGCTCTACCTTCCTCTGGGTTGGAGTCCTCAGGAAGAATCCATCCTTGGAGTGACTTCAGCACTTTCAGCCATTGCCATCAGCTGAGGTACCTTACAGCAGAGCCTCTTCCAGAGTTTCACCAGGCTGAGGTTGGGTCACCTGCCCATTCCTGAACCAGTCAGATCCCTGGGACTCTGATTGGCAGCTCTGTGTCCCAGGCCTCCCGCTGAAGTTCCCCATACGACAGTGGTATTAGGCTGTTCTTGCATTGCTATAAAGAAATACCTGAGGCCGGGCGCGGTGGCTCAAGCCTGTAATCCCAGCACTTTGGGAGGCCGAGGCGGGCGGATCACGAGGTCAGGAGATCGAGACCATCCTGGCTAACATGGTGAAACCCCGTCTCTACTAAAAAATACAAAAAACTAGCTGGGCGAGGTGGCAGGTGTCTGTAGTCCCAGCTACTCGGGAGGCTGAGGCAGGAAAATGGCGTGAACCCGGGGGGTCGGAGCTTGTAGTGAGCCGAGATCGCGCCACTGCACTCCAGCCTGGGGCACAGAGCAAGACTCCGTCTCAAAAAAAAAAAAAAAAAAAGAAATACCTGAGACTGGGTAATTTTTAAGAAAAGAGGCTTGATTGGCTCACAGTTCTGCAGACCGTACAGGAAGCGTGGTGGTATCAGCTTCCGGGGAGGCCTCAGGAAGCTTCCAGTCAAGGCGGAAGGTGAAGGGGGAGCAGGCACATTGCATGGCAAGAGCAGGAACAATAGAATCAGAGTGGGGCGGGGGATGCTGCATACTTTCAGGGTCCGCCCCCATTACCCAAACACCTCCCACTAGACCCAGCTCAACATGGGGATTACATTGCAACACAAGATTTGGGTGGGGACAGACATCCAAACTACGTGAACAGTCGTGATCTGTCACTCAAAGGAGGATGCTAAGTCACAAGCTACAGATCTTCCCATCAGCTTTTGGGGAATTACTTTGGCCCAGCCTTGAAAGGTACTTGGGAGACCCCTCTCCAGCCTTTTGGCCTGCGTCAAAGCGGTATCTCATGTCACCCCCAGCTGGGCACAGCTGTGCCCTGGCCCCTCTAATGCCATATATGACATTCCCTCCTCCTGCACCGCTGTTCATGCACTTGTCTGTTCACTGGCTCAGTGGGCATGCTCTGAGGTGCTGGAGAGAAGTAAGTTCTGCCCTTATCCTCACGCTGACGTGGTGTGTAACAGCAGAATTGTTTGTATACACTGGGTTTCATTTCCTTTACTGGGCTGAAATCTTTTTAAGGCTCTGGTTCTTGCTTAGTCGCTTGTGTTCCGTTTAGCATTTAGTGAACACAGCTTTTCTGGTGCTCAAATCCTGGTTTGCATTCCAACAGGATACAGTTTGTGGCATCACAAGCATGGAAGGGCAAGACCAGGAGGAATTACAAGCAGGCTCTGCTGTCCTCAGAAGCCAGCCCTTCTCTGTGAGAATAGTGGCTGGTTTCTTATAGAAACTGGTGCCTGCCACCCTCCTAGCATCCCAGAACCCTGAGCTTTTTAAATAGGAAGGCTAGTTGGTGCTTTCTTGGAAGAAGAAAAGTTGGTCCCTTAGTAAAGGAATTGGTTCATTGCTTAGCTAGTTCAAGATAGAAATTTTGATGGAATCATGCCACACTCTTACAAGATACGTGTGTATGTTTTTTCCAGGCATATTTATATTTTTGCATAGACCAGAATATAGGTATTATTAACAAAAAGGTAAGATACTCTACATACTGTTTTGCGCATATATATATATACGTGTATATATATGCACATATACACGTATATATATGTGTGTATATATACGTGTGTATATATGTGTATGTGTATATACGCGTGTATATATGTATGTACGCACACACACAATAATAGGCTGGGTGCAGAGGCTCATGCCTGTAATCCCAGCACTTTGGGAGGCTGAGGCTGGAGGATGGCTTGAGCCCAGGAGTTTGAGGCTGCAGTGAGCTAGGATCATGTAACTGTACTCCAGCAAGAGTGACAGAGCAAGACACTGTAAAGAATATACATGCATGCATGTATAGACATGTATGTACACACACTCAAGATATCTATGTAATATACACAGACATACAGTAAACAAACATGACGCTTGTTAAGAAGTTAGCAAGCCTGATTGTAGTGGTGGTTTTCCGGAGGATATTGTGAGCACATCAGATATTCCCGGTGCCACACTCAAAGCAAGTCTCAGGAAATACTGAGGGAAGGTCCCATTTCTACCTCGTTGCGTTTACTCCTTCTCTCACCTGTACCCATGGCATTTCGTGTGAACGGATGGATCACCATCTTGCTGTTTGCACTCATTTCTCTAAAATGCGGGTGCGGTGCGGTGGCTCACGCCTGTAATCTCAGCACTTTGGGAGGCCGAGGTGAGTGGATCACTTGGGGTCCAGGAGTTCAAGATCAGCCTGGGTACATGGTGAAACCGCTTCTCTTCAAAAAATAAAAAGTTAGCTGGGCATGGGGGCTCACACCTGTAGCCCCAGCTATTCAGGAGGCTGAGGCAAGAGAATCACTTGAACCCAGGAGGCGGGGGTTGCAGTGAGCCAAGACTGTGCCACTGCACTCCAGCCTGGGTGACAGAGTGAGACTCAGACTCAAAAATTAAAGAGCAATAATAAAATGTGTTGTAAGTGTTCCCTGTTAGTGTTGAGTCCTGCAGCGTGCTCATCTTTAGTGATGCCGGGTAGCAGCTGACAGGAGACACCAAAGCTGGTGCCCAGGCTCATTCACTTAGCATTTATTCTGCAGTTATTTATTGAGTGCCTGTTGAGTGCTGTCTTTGAGGGCAGATCATGAGCGGGGAGAGGCCTTGTCTCTGCCTTGTGGAGCTCATGGGTGCCTCTCTGGGGAGAAAGGAGCTAACTCTTCACCCGGTGACCATAGCCAGTGCGAGTCTCTTCATCTGCTGCTGGTGTGCAGTAATGGGGGGAGGGCACTAGCTGATAGATTTAACTCCTGCAGTTGTATTTTCCCGTTCTTTGTTTTATTTTTGAGACAGAGTCTTGCTCTGTCACCCGTGCTGGAGTGCAGTGGAACAGTCATAGCTTACTGCAGCCTCAAGTTCCTGAGCTCAAGCGATCCTCCAGCCTCAGCCTCCCAAGTAGCTGGGACTACAGCCATAAGCCACCACACCTGGATAATTTTTATTGTAGAGATGAGGTGTTGCTGTGTTGCCCAGTCTGGTCTGGAGCTCCTGGGCTCAAGCGATCCTCCCACCCTGGCCTCCCGAAGCACTGGGATTACAGGCGTGAGCCATTGTACCGGGCCTTTTCTCCCTGCTCCTTATGATGCTTCCATGCCTCTCTGTTCTGCAGCGCAGACATACCACACACCACATACACACAGACACCACAGAGACACGTACAACACACACACACATACTACACACACTGCACACAAACACCCACACATGCACATGTGTGTGCACACACACCCCAACACACCTACACATACACCACATACACACACCCCACCACACCTACACATGCACCACATACACACACCCCACCACACCTACACACCAAATACACACCCCAACACACCTGCACACACACACACTCACACCCGCAACACATACACACCCCACCACACCTACACACAGACTCACACACCCCCATCACACCTACACACACACTACAGACACACCCCCACCACACCTATACACACACCTGCACACGCACCACATACACACACACCCCCCACACACATACCACACACAGACTTATACACCCGACCACACCTACACACATACTACATAGACACACCACACACACACCCCACCATACCTACACACATACCACACAGACACACCCCACACACCACACAGACACACACATACCCCATACCCACACACATACACACCACACCTACATGCACACCACACAGACACACCCCACCACACCACACACAGACACTTGCACATGTGAGTGTATGCACACACACCACCACACCTACACACAAAGCCTTCATAAAAATAAGAGAGCCAGGCTGGGCGTGGTGGCTCACACCTGTAATCCCAGCAATTTGGGAGGCCGAGGTGAGTGGATCACCTGAGGTTGGGAGTTCGAGACCAGCCTGACCAACATGGAGAAACCCTGTCTCTACAAAATTGGCCAGGCGTGGTGGCACAAGCCTATAATCCCAGCTACTCGGGAAGATGAGGCCGGAGAATTGCTTGAACCTGGGAGGTGGAGGTTGCGGTGAGCCGAGATCATGCCACTGCACTCCAGCCTGGGCAACAACAGCAAAACTCCATCTCAAAAAAAATAAAAATAAAATAAGAGAGCCGGGTGAGAACCCCTTCTTCCTCGCATAACTGGCTGAAGAGAGTCAGACACGCGGGCAGCTCTTCTGGGTGTCCCTGGAGGCCGACTACACCATCATGCGTGGCACTGGGGAGGGGGTCTCTGGGGGGCTCGAGGGAACACAGGGCACCAGAGTGATTCTGGATGGGCTTCTGACCTGGGGACAATTTAAACAGCATCACAACCAACATTTTGGTTTTCTTGGGGATTCTATAGGCCAGGTACAAAGCAGAAAGTGCATAGAAGATGTGATCCACTTTGCCTGGGAAGAGAAACTCTTTCTCCTGGCTGATGAGGTAAGAGTGTCCCCACTCAGAGGGGATGGGCACTAACTTTCTCTTCTAGAGGGAGGTACCCAGCCGCCGTTGTTCTGCAGCTAGAGAGCTGTCTTGGTGTTGGAGGAATGATTCTGGCCTAGGGTGAGGATGTTCAGTGTTACAACTTGTGAGACTGTGACCTAAATTACCCCTTTATTGGTTTGTACTCTTGGTTGTAAATTTCAGAAATTCAGCCCAAATCACTTAAGTTCCAAAAGAAAAAGGAAAAAGGAAAAATGCTGGTGGGGTCACAGGTGTGCAGCTGAATCCAGGGGCTTGGACTTTATCTTTCAGGTCTTCTTTCCCTTTTCCACCCCTCTGTGTTGGCCTCATACACAGGCCTGTTATCTTCCCAGCCTAGAGATTCCCAGCCTAGAAAGAGGGCTTTTGGCCCTGGTGGTTCCAGCAAGTCTCAGAATTGAGCCTTATTGGTTCAGCCTGAGTCTCACGCCCATTGCTGAACCAATCACTGTGATGTAGGGGTTCCAGTATGCAGATTGACCAGGCCCAGAGCCTAGGGTGGGCCATCTGCTTTCTTTTCCCAAACTTCCAGATAGAGAACCAAGGAGGGTTATTCCTTGAGGGCCAGCTGAGGGGCTCCTATCCAACAAGGGAGGGTGGGTTCCCAGTGGCAGAAATGACTGACACCCACTCCTCATAAAGCTGTAGTTCTATGCCTCCCAGCGCTTCTGTATCTACTGTCTCATTTAATTCGCTTACATCTTAGGAAGGGATCTTAACCCCATACCTGTTGCTTCTTGAACTACAGTTCTGGAACCAAAATCAGCTCATTCTTTTTCTGCTTTGAAAAGAAACTGAGGTTCCATCAAATCCTCTTTTTGTTTCTTCTTCTTTTCTGCATGGTTTCCGGTGAGCTGCAGCTTCTAGCCTGCTGCCTTCATTTCTTTGCTCCTTGTCACCCCCCCAGCACATGCCGCACATACAAATGCAGACACACACACACGCATACACACACAGACATACACACAGACATATACGTACGTACATACAGACACACATGCATACACAGACACGCACATACATACACAGACACATACATACACACACAGCTTACCCATCAAATTGTTGCCTTAATAGTAGATGGGCGTGACATCTTCATTTCTAAAGGAGAGAGAAGGCAGCAGAGAGACCCGTGGTTTTCCTCATGACCTGGTACACAGAACTTCCCTCTGGGTCTGGGAAGAGGAGGATGAGGAGGACAGGGCCTGGCTTGGCGATGAAGCCAGCTTGACCCTCCGACTGATCCCCAGGGCCCCAGAAAGGCTCAGTTTCTCTGATCTCCAAAACAGATGGGGAATTAACCTCAAAGGCCAGGGTGGGTGTCTGCCAGCTGTGAGTGCTGGACTCTGGGGACTGGAAAGAACCAAACGGGTGTAGGTGCTGCTCTGGCAGGGAAAAGTGGGCGGAAGAACACAATGATTCCACTCTGGGGGGTTAAGTGTTGCAAAGGAAACCCAACAGGGTTAGCTCTTCAAATAGGAGATCAGAGGAAAGGGGCACTAATGCCGTCGTCACAGTGTTGGTAAAGCAAGGAAGCACCGTGCTTTAGGAGGAGAGTCTGCTTGGGAGGATGGGCGTCTCGGCGCCATCACTGGTCAGATGGGGTGGAAGGGAAGTCTGAGGATTGGGCGGGGATGAGTGTGAGAGAAATCAAGTGAGCTCCTGAGCTGTCTCAGCATCCAGCCTGAGGCCTTGCCTCCTTGCTTATTCTAGAAAGTTCCTTCAGGCACACTTGGCTCATCCCTGGAAGTGGCACAGGAAGCTGGGCCTCATGGCCTACAGCACCTGTGCCCTCCCTTGCCTTGGCCACACTGGGCAGCAGCCTCTTTGAGGGCCCTTTGGTGACCGTCCCTGCCGTGCCCCCGCAGGTGTACCAGGACAACGTGTACTCTCCAGATTGCAGATTCCACTCCTTCAAGAAGGTGCTGTACGAGATGGGGCCCGAGTACTCCAGCAACGTGGAGCTCGCCTCCTTCCACTCCACCTCCAAGGGCTACATGGGCGAGTACGTGGGCCTCCCTTCCCTCCCGCCACTGCTGGGCCCACCAGATCCTCACGCTGCCGGCTCCTCTGCCCTGCGCCGTGGTCTACTCACTTGGATGGAGAGAAGGCTGCCCTTATCTGTTGCTTCTGCATCTCCCCAGCGGGAGAGCCATGGTGTGAGAACAGCCCTGGCGCAGGGCTCAAATAAGGACGTGCTCAGAGAAGCCAGACAACGGACAAATGATGGAGTGGAAACAGGACTACATGGCAGCTTGTGACACCTGGTGTTTTCTCTGTCACTGTTGTTCTGAGGTTGACTGATGTCTGAGGGGTCAGGGAGGGCGGATGCTGTTAGGCTGACGGGCCGTGCTCTGGATGCAGGGCTGCCTTAGGCACTGCATGACCTCAGAGGCTAAAGGTCAGCTGTAATCCTGTGTCTGTTCATTCAGCTCATATTTACTGAGCACTTACGATGAGTCTGGCACTGATCTCAGTGCGGGGGATGCCACAGCGAACACCCTCCTGCCAGCACAAAGCATGGGTTCTAGTGAGGGGAGAGAGCTGTAGGCAAATGAGTAAATCGTGCATCCAACGGAGAACAGTCATTAGGAGAGAGGTAGGGGTGGGGTCGAAGGCTGAAGTGGTGCAGCCTCACTGAGGAGTTGGCTTCTGAGTTAAACCCTGAAGGAGTGTGGTGGGGAACTGTGCAGATATCTGGGGGAAGAGCATTGCAGGCAGCGGGAGCAGCCTGGGCAAAGACCCTGTGGTAGCAGCACACCTGCCGTGTTGGTGGAACACACCTGCCATGTTGGCAGAACAGCCAGGAGCTGGAAAGGAGGGGTGAGGGGGCAGTGGCAGAAGTGGAGACCTGAGAACCATAGGAGGCCGGGTCACCTGGGCCACTTTGGTGATTGTATTTTTCACCTGTGCTCAGCATGAGATAGGAGCTTTTAGAGGGGGTGTGGCCTTGCTTAGCTGGTGTGTTGCTCCTTCTGGCTGCTGTGTGGTAGGGGATGGGGTACAGATGGAGACAGAGGCCAGGAGGCTGTTACAGTCTCACAGGTGAGATATAGTGCACCAGGCAGAGATGGGGAGAGGATCCTGGATGTATTTGAAGGTGGAGTTGATAGGAGTTGTGGATGGAAAAGGCAGGTGTGGGAGAGAAGAGTCAAGGATGAATCCTGGCCAGGTGCGGTGGCTCACGTCTGTGATCCAAGAACTTTGGGAGGCCGAGGTGGGAGGATCACTCAAGGCCAGGAGTTTGAGATCAGCCTGGGTAATATAGCAAGACCCCTTCTCTACAAAAAACTGTTTTAAAACTCAGCCAGGTTTGGTGGTGCACGCTTCCAGCTACTCAGGAGGCTGAGGTGGGAGGATCGCTTGAGCCCAGGAGTTCCAGGCTGCAGGGAGCTGTGATTGCGGCACTGCACGATGAATCCTTAGTTGTTTGTTCAAACAACGGGAAGGATGGTGTTGCAGTCAATACATGAGGAAGGCTGAGGGTGAAGCAGGTTTAGGGAGAAAGAGCAGGAGTTTGGTTTCGGACCTATTAAAGTGAAATATGCCAGCTTGGCGTCCAGGTGGAGAGAGATGTGTAAGTATCCAGGCAAGCTGACGTCTGGTGGGTGGTTTAAGTTTGGGAGATGTCTGGGTGTGAATTGTAAGATTGTTGGAGCTCTGAGCCTGGACAGGTCTCATACTCACATGGAGTGAGGCCTGGGCCTGGGCCCCTACTGCTGGGAGGTTAGGGGAAAGAGCAGGAAGCCACAGAGACTGAGGAGAGACCAGTGGGTTTCAGCAAAGGGCATGCGTTCCCAGCGTGGTGGGATCGTATTCTGTTCCAGGTGTCGGCATGGGGAGGGCTCTTGGTTGTTAGGCTGGAACAGTGTAAGCGTGAAGCTCAAAGGAATACTTCCGCCAGGTCAAGGGAGCAGCCCCCCGGGATGGCTGCGAAACTGTTCTTGGGCTTCTTTGATCTGGGCGCAGGCTAACGTAGACTGGTCTTTCTGGTCTACACTGTAGCAGTCCTGGCACCTTCTTCACTTCCTTTTGCTCTGTAGCTCTTTTCCTAAACAAATCTGTTCTCGGTGAACTCAGTTTTCAAACTCAAGCGTGTTTACCACACACTTATGCATTGCCCCATCTCAGTTATTGAGTATGCTACCAGTCAGTGCCCTGATGTTGGGGTCCTGAGTCGTGTCCCGTGTTCTCAGATCTGGATGAATTAGGGTCTGACTGCTTTACTCATTTTGATTCTCTGCTCATCAGCAGAGGATTAAGCAGAAAGTTCTTTCTTTCCATTTTTGTTACGGGATACTTTTCTGAGATGTTAGAATTTATCTTCCCACCTTGGAATGTCCAGTCAAGGGATCTGATGGGAATCTTTGCCGGTTTTGTTCAGCAGTGTGATCCCAAAAGCATGTTTTTTTTGTTTTTTGTTTTGTTGAGATGTAGTCTCGCTCTGGAGCCCAGGCTGGAGTGCCGTGGCGTGATCTCAGGTCACTGCAACCTCTGCCTCCTCCCGATCTTGGTTCAAGCAGTTCTTTTGCCTCAGCCTCCCGCGTAGTTGGGATTACAGGCATGTGCCACCATGCCAAGCTAATTTTTTTTATATTTTTAGTAGAGACGGGGTTTCACCATGTTGGCCAGGCTGGTCTTGAACACCTGACCTCAAGTGATCTGCCCACCTTGGCCTCCGAAAATTCTGTGATTACAGGGGTGAGCCACCGCACCTGGCCCCCCAAAAAACATGTTACTAAGCATCTCATTGTGTCAAGTACTCTGAGGCTGGGGGTGGGGGATGCATGGAAGAAGGTGACCAGGTTCCTGCCTCCGGGCACCTGCGTTCTTGTGGTAGTTAGTGTGAACGTTTGCAGCTACACACTGGAGAAGAAGATGTATGTTGCTGATTTGGTTTAGAAAGGTTTTTTTGTTTTTTGTTTTTAACTCATTACATGTCCTCAGCTTATTTTCATATGATTTGAGTGTATCATTGAGGATTCTTTTGGCTATAAATTACAGAAACTTGTCATGGTGACTCACACCTGTAATCCCAGCACTTTGGGAAGCTGAGGCGGGAGGATCGCTTGAGGCCAGGAGTTCAAGACCAGACTGAGCAACATAGCAAAACCCTATCTCTACATACATAAAAAGTAAAAAAATGAGCCATATGTGGTGGCACACACTTGTAGTCCCAGCTATTTGGGAGGCCGAGGTGGGACTATTGCTTGAGCTTAGGTGCTTGAGGCTGCAGTGAGCTATGATCATCCCACTACACTCCAGCCTGGGTGACAGGAAAAGGTCCTGTCTCTTAAAAAAAAATAGGAATTTGTACACAATCATCACTATTGTTCACCTTCCATTGGCAAGAACTCAACCACACCTGGCCATTAGGTGTTGGGGGTGGGGATGCTTTCGATTCTGGCTGTCCAAATGGCACTTTGTTGAGGTCTTTCTGTAACTGGTGGTCCTCTCCCTCTCTTCGGCCCTCTAGGTGTGGTTACAGAGGGGGCTACATGGAGGTGATCAACCTGCACCCTGAGATCAAGGGCCAGCTGGTGAAGCTGCTCTCAGTGCGCCTGTGCCCCCCAGTGTCTGGGCAGGCCGCCATGGACATCGTCGTGAATCCCCCGGTGGCAGGAGAGGAGTCCTTTGAGCAATTCAGCCGCGTGAGTCCACTGTGATGCGTCCACATCCCTGCAGCCGGGGTCACGAGAGTTCCTGCGGGGCCGGTGGCTGGCCTGTCTCCAGATGGCCAGACGGCAGCCTCCTGGGGGTGTGGCCTGCAGGGGCACGCATGGCTCCTCGGAGCCTAAACCACCCCCTTGAGTTGAAGTCCGGAGGTACAGCTGGGCATTGTTTGGAAGTAGGAGAACTGAGAGTGTGTGTGGGCAGGTGAACCCTTCCTCTTCCTCACAGCGAGTGTCGAGGAGGGAAGGGCGTTGTTTCCCGATAACGCACTGGGGGGACTCGTGAAACTGAAAAGAAGATGAGGAGGTGGCGGGGCGCAGCATGGATCCCAGGCCCCCGCCTGCCTCTGCTAAGCCATGTTCTCACAGCTTGACAGAGTCCTCCAGCTCTGACCAGCTTTGATCCGTTGAAACAAAGGAATTTATGGGTCAGGTAACCTAGAAGTCAACTCCCAACTGGTCCAGGCTCACCTCTTTTTTAAAAAATTGTGGTAAAATGCACATAAAGTCGACCTTTTTAACGTTTGTAAAGTACTCCGTTCTCTGGCATTCAGGACATTCACACTGTTGTGCGGCCATTACCACCATCCATCTCCAGAGCTGTTCCATGATCCCACACTGAGCTCTGCCTGTTACCCACTAATACCCCACCCTGCCCTCCCCTTAGCCCCGGCAGCCACCCTTCTACCCCCTTCTCTCTGCACTCACCTCCTCAAGATTCCTCATTTAAATGGAGTCATGTTGGCCGGGAACAGTGAGTGGTTCACGCCTGTAATCCCAGCACTTTGGGAGGTTGTGGCGGGTGGATCATCTGAGGTCAGGAGTTGGAGACCAGCCTAGCCAGCATGGTCAAACCTCATATCTACTAAAAATACAAAAATCAGCTGGGGATGGTACATGCCTGTTATCCCAACTACTCGGGAGGCTGAGGCAGGAGAATCACTTGAACCCGGGAGGCGGAGGTTGCAGTGGGCCGAGATTGCGCCATGGCACTCCAGCCTGGGTGACAAAGCGAGACTCCGTCTAAAAAAAAAGCAGAGTCATGTCTTATTTGTCTTTTTGTGGCTGGCTTATTTTCCTAATCATGATGTCCTCCAGGTCCATCTGTGTTGTGGCCCGTGTCATGATGCCAGGCTGAACCATGCTCCCCACGCGGACAGGCCACATAGTGCTTATGCCGCCACCTGCAGCCCACACCTTCCATGCCACTTGGCCAGCGGCACCTGTGGAAGCCCTGGACAGCGACTCTGCTCCAGCCGTGGACACACGCCCAGCTCAGGCCGAGTCACTGATCCTGACTTGCTCTGCCTGGGTCCTGGGCTGCATGCACACCACACAGACAGAGGGTGGGGCGTACTGGCCCCCAGATGCATTGGTGGGGCCTATCTGCAGAAGAATGGGCATGTGTCCTAGAAGCATGTTCTGAGGAATTCCCTCCAGAGCCGAGTCCATACAGACTGACAGGCAACAACTGGGTTTTCTCATTTTCTGGAAGGACATCCTGGTACGAGAATAGAACCCATGACACAGGCTGCCGGGCTCTACCCTTTGGCCTAGAACTCCATGGTGTCTGTGTGCCCCACACCCCAGGGCATGTGGCAGCATCCCAGGGTGAGCGCTGTGGAAGAATTCCTGCCGGAAGGCCCAGCCACCTCCCTGTTTTGCTGTGCTCGGGCTCACGCAAGCTCTTCTTTGGTCAGTCTGTCTGATACCCCAGTGTCGAAGGAACAAACCACCCCACCCACTCCGTCTGTGTGGTGTGCATGGGGCATGTGACCCAGGCAGAGCAAATCCGAGTCAGCGCCTGGGTCAGAGGGGACATACATTCAAAGCTGGAGCAAAGTCATCATCCAGGATTTCTGCAAGTGCTGCAGGAAAGATCAGTGACTGGAGTGAATCTTGAGATACTGACTGCTGTGCTGTTTCTATCTCTCGTCAGGAGAAGGAGTCGGTCCTGGGTAATCTGGCCAAAAAAGCAAAGCTGACGGAAGACCTGTTTAACCAAGTCCCAGGAATTCACTGCAACCCCTTGCAGGGTGCCATGTACGCCTTCCCTCGGATCTTCATTCCTGTCAAAGCTGTGGAGGCTGCTCAGGTCTGGGGCATGGGCCGGGCTGGCTCTCTCTTACCAGGTTCACCTGAGACGCTGGGCTGGGGGCCCCTGCTTATTTGGGGAGCAGAAGTGCTGGCCCTGGAGGCTCTGAACTGTATGCACCTTTCAACCAGATGGTGTTGACCATGTAAAGATGACAGGTTCTCAGAGGCCCAGGCATGGGCTCTGATGATGGGCAAACATGAAGTGGGCCCCAGGAGAGAGGAGCTGATCTGGACTCTGTCAGTGCTGCTGCTCCCAGGGGAGGTGCCCGGGTGAGATGCCTGCGGGGGAAGCAGCAGGAGCTGCCACCTCCACCCAGCCACTGCATCCGGGAGCAGCGCTTCCCAGACTTCAGTGTGTGCACCCATCACCTAGGGCCTGTTTTTTGTTTTTTGTTTTTCCTTTTCGTGGAGAACGGGGTCTTGCTATATTGCCTAGGCAGGTCTCAAACTCCTGGGCTCAAGCTATTCTCCTTCCTCTGCCTCCCTAAGAGTTGAGATTACAGGCTTGAGCCACTGTGCCTGGCTTATTTGTTTTGTTTTAATTACATTCTTATACAGAGCGATGGGGTCTTACTTTGTCACCCCAGGGCTGGCCTCAAACTCCTGGGCCTCAAGGGAACCTCCCACCTCAGCCTCCCAAAGTGCTGGGATTGCAGGCATGAGCCACTGTGCCTGGATTGTTTTTTTTTTTTTTTTTTTTT